ATGCCCAGGTCCCTCTCTGCGGGGCAACTCTCCAACAGGTCAGCCCCTAATCTGTACTGGTATCCAGGGTCTCCAAGTGCAGGACCATGCACTTGCCCTTGTTGAACTTCATGAGATTTCTAGCCACCCAGTTGTCCAGTCTGTCCAGGTCCCTCTGGATGAYAGCGCAGCCCTCAGGGCTATCAGCTACTCCTCCCAGTTTGGTATCATCAGCAAACTTGCTGATGGAGCACTCCAGCCCTTCATCCAGGTTGTTAATGAAGAARTTGAACAGGACCAGACCGAGGATCGACCCCTGGGGGACACCGCTAACTACAGGCCTCCAGCTGGACTCCGCGCCACTGACCACCACTCTCTGTACCCTGCCATCGAGCCAATTCCTAATCCACCTCCCCCGTCCACTCATCTATCCTACACCTTTGGAGCTTGCCCAGGAGGATGCTGTGAGGGACGGTGTCAAAAGCCTTGCTGAAGTCCAGATAGRTGACATCCACCACTCTGCCCTCATCTATCCAGCTAGTCACTCCTTCATAGAAGGTGATCAGGTGAATCAAGCATGATTTCCCCTTGGTGAAYCCATGCTGGCTACTGCTGAGCACCTTCTTCTCCTCCACRTGTCTGGAGACAGGAACCAGGATGAGCTGTTCCATCACTTTTCCGGGGATGAAGGTAGTTCACTTTTCCGGGCCTGTAGTTGCCCGGGTCCTCCTTCTTGCCTTTTTTGAAGACCGGAGTGACATTGGCTCTCTTCCAGTCCTCCGGCACCTCCCCCGTTCTCCAGGACCTTCCAAAGATGATGGCGAGCAGCTTGGCCATGACATCTGCCAGTTCCCGCAACACTMTGGGGTGCATCCCATCAGGGCCCAYRGATTTGTGGGTGTCAAGTTTCCTTAGGTGCTCTCTGACCCACTCTTCCTCTGCCCAGGGCAACCCTTCCTCTCTCCAGGAGGCCTCTCTCCTTCCTCTCTCTTTTCCCCTCTCCCTTTGCATCACCCCACTTCCCCTCTATGTCCTTTTTCCTCTCCTGCTCCCCCCTCTCCCTCTGCCTCACCCTCTTTCCCACCTTTGTGTTTCTTACCTCCTCTCTCTTCACCTCACCCCCCTTCCCTACTGTTTCTTCCTCCCCATTTCCCGCTCTCCCTTTGCTTCACCCCACTTCCCCTCTATGTCCTTCCTCACCTGCTCCCCCTCTCCTTTTGCCTCATCCCCTTTCCCAGCTACCTGTTCCTTCTTCTCCCACTCGCCCTCTCCTTTTGCCTCTCCTCCTTTCCCCCCTCCATGCTGAACATGGATACTCAAATTTCTCCAGAACTAAAGGAGAAGAAGGGAGAAGAAGAGAGGGTAGACATTCCCTCTCCCACCGATGATGAGGGTGTGCATTCACTCCTGGCTTCTCTCCCCCAGTCAGGATGTCATCAATATATTGATACCCTGTGACACCAGGTGAGATGGGGACTTCTGCTAAGACTTCCGCCACAGCATTATGAGCAGTAGTGGGGGAATGTTTTGTATCCTTGCAGAAGCATATTGAAAACATGTAAGCAGGCTGAAAGCATGTAGGAAAGTCTACAGATCAATCGTATCTTCTGAACAGAACCACCGCCTTTCATTCAGCTTTCCACACAGCAAAAAAAAAAGTGAGAATTTGGTAAGACAGAGGAAGGTTATGCAGAGAAGAGGGAGATCCAGGCGTCTTCTTCTATCTGCCAGCCTCACTATGGCTGCAAACTGCCCACCCTGACCCTCACACCATTCTCTTGTTTCAATACTACCTTATTCTCAGTCTTCTGGAGTTCCTTCTCATGTCCTTTTTTTTTAGGTGGTTCACACGGCAACAGCACCCGCCTCGGTCCTGGCTGGAGCAAACCCAGCGGGAAGGGCAACCGCTTGCACGTGGCACCCATCCCCAGCCTCCACGTGTCCTCCGGGTCCCGTTCCTCACCGCCATCCTGTCCCAGGCACCCGYGCTCATGTGTCCGCCCACCCCATGCAGACCCTCCATCCAGGCTACACCGACAGCTCGTTCCCATCTGCGCCCTCCCCTCCGGCTACCCCAGCCACCCTGGCACCGGCCACGTCCCCTGGTCACGAGTGGGGACCCTGAAGCCCCACGGTCACCATCAGGTGCAGGCCCTGTTGCCACGGCGACAGCTCAGGATAGGTGGGCATCATCAACAGGTGACATCCCGCAGGCCCCGTTGCCACGGTGACGACTCCGTGCCATCATCCCCGTTGCCATGGTGAGGACTCGGGCCAGGCGGGCCCTGTTGCTGCGGTGACACCTCGGGCTCTGGTAGTCCCCGTTGCCATGGCGATGGTTCAGGCCCCGACAGGCCCTGTTGCCGTGGCGACGTGTTCCCCTCCCCCCAGCCGTGCGCAGCCGCCGCCACCGCCCTCCCTCCCTCCCGGGGGCGCTCCGGGCCGCGCGGCAGCGGGCGGCGGGCGCGCCGGAAGTACCGGCAGCCGCGGCGGAGGAGGAGGGCGCGGAAGCGGAAGCGGCGGCGGCGGCCGTGTCCTTCTGGGCCGCGGCGCCGGGCGGCAGCAGCTGCGGCAGCATGGCGGACACGGCCTCGCAGGTGCTGCTGGGCTCGGGGCTCGCGGTGCTCTCGCAGCCCCTCATGTACGTGAAGGTGCTGGTGCAGGTGAGGGCAGCGCGCGCGAGGCGAGCGCGGGGCGCCGGGCACCGGCGGGCTGCAGCAGCAGCAGCAGCAGCAGCAGCAGCAGCCCCTCGTGTCCCTTTGCCCCCCAGGTGGGCTACGAGCCGCTGCCGCCCACGCTGGGCAGGAACATCTTCGGGCGGCAGGTCTACCAGCTGCCCGGGCTCTTTGCTTACGGTGAGTCCATCGCCGCTGGCCCCGCGCGTGGGGAGAGCCCCAGGGCTGCCGCGGGACGGGACGGGCGTGAAGGGCGACAGGAGCTGTGCCCTGGCTGCACCAAGGCCCTGCAGGACCCAGGGGCTGCTCGGAATGGGGTTCCTCTTCGCACGTCCATTCATCCTCATTGCAGGGGATAAACCCAAAGGGAACGGGGTGCGTGTGATGGGATGGCTCCTAATGTTCCTGTTTACCYTCCCTGCAGCCAAACATATCGTGAAGGTGGACGGGAGAGCGGGACTCTTCAAAGGCCTCACACCGCGGCTCTGCTCTGGAGCTGTGGGCACCATCGTGCACAGCAAGGTGCTGCAGGTACGAGGACGGTGTCCGTGGGGACGCTCCGAGGCCTCGGATGCTCTGCCCTCTCCCACCCCCTGAGCGTCCCGGTGCTGATCCCRGCGACAGCCCGTGGCTGAAGGGCCTCCCCTTGTCCCCCGCTCGCTGCGCTGACTGTGACCTTTTCTCCCTAGCGGTATCAGGAGGCTGAGCAGGCTGAGGTACGTCCGGGACTCTTCCCTTTGGAGAATCCTCTCATCCTGGCAGCTGCTCCTGTGAGGCAGGGCTGTGCCCTGAGGGTGTTGGGAAAAGCAGAGGCAGCCAGGAATAGAGCTGGCTTTTAAGCGCTGCTCCCAAAGGACCACGGAGAGCCAGACCGCTGTGCAGCTACATGGCATGGGGCAGCCGGTGGTGCTGGGATGTGGGGGGCCTACGGGCCTCGTCCTRGGGAGGGCTGATGGTTTCAGCCTCGGAGCGGGTGACGTGTCTGGTGATTTGTCCCTTGTCCCACACCTGCTTGCTCTCCCCAGCTAGGAGCCTGCAAGAAGGAGCCCGTGTCCTCACTGGAGCAGGTCCTCAAGGAGGTAAGAGCGCAACCGGAGCTGGAGAACAGACCTGGGAGCTCCAGTTCTTCCCTGGTAGGGACTCACCTAGAGCCAATTTGTGAGCCCTCTTTCCCAGGGCTTGTGCACTAGGGACCTGGTGTCAAGGAGGTGCTGGCAGAGGGGAAGGGCAGGGCTCCTGCCCCAGCAGGGTGCTGCGTGGCAGCGGGGCTGTTTCCAGGCCAGGGTCTGGCTTGAGATCCTGAATTGCCTTCATTCCTTGCAGCCGACAGGAGAAGGGTGTTGGGGGTGTGGGCGCTGGTCTTGCCCCACTGAGACAGGGGCTGGCAGCACATGAACCTGTGTGGTGCTTGGGAGCACCCCTGTGTGCCCTCCTGCTGCCCCCACGCTGCCCCGTCCCCTGTCTGCCTTGACTGACAGCCCATTTCTCCTGCAGACCTCTCGAGAGATGGTCGCTCGCTCCGCCGCAACGCTCATCACCCACCCCTTCCATGGTAGGTGAGCCCCGGGCTGGAGGTCGCTGCTCCTCATGGGCCTTGGCGGCGCGGGGCACTGTGTGCGGCGGCCGCATGGCCACTCTAGCGTCCGGGAGAGGCCGGGGAGCGCTGACTCCACACTCCCTGGCCCTGCCCACAGTGATCACCTTGAGATGCATGGTGCAGTTCATCGGCAGGGAGACCAAGTACAGGTATGGGGACTTTGCGGCATGGCGGGAGCTTCCCCATCCTGTGCCCTGTGCCAGGGGCACAGCTCCGCTTTGGTGCCCAAACGGTGGGGCTGGGGCAGCTCCTTCGTGGGGCCCCATGCTGGATGACTGAAGCGCTCTCCTCTTCCCTCACCCTGGTTGCAGCGGGACACTAAGCGCCTTCGCCACGATCTACCGAGAAGAGGGCATCCTGGGCTTCTTCGCGTGAGTGCCGGTGGCTGCTTCCGAGCTTGCTGTGTGGCTAGCGTGGGAGTAGGGTTGGCTCGTGGCAAGGGAAGCGACTCATGTTCCCCGCTGCCCATTTTCTTCCAGGGGCCTCATCCCTCGGCTCCTCGGAGACATCCTTTCGCTGTGGCTCTGCAACATGCTGGCCTACCTCATCAACACGTATGCCCTGGAGAACGGGGTACGGGCTTGGAGCTCTCGCTGGCGCCCTGGAGCGGGACTGGGGGCTCTCACTGGTGTTTAGATGACAGCAGGCCCAAGGGTGGCAGTGAGTGAGGGCTGCAGGGCTAGAAGGCAGCTCAGAGTGTGGGGGTTTGAAGGCATCTTTCGTCTCTCGCAGGTCTCAACCATGAGCGAGATGAAGAGCTACTCGCAGGCAGTCACTGGAGTGAGTACAGCCGCTCTGTGTGCGTGTCTCTCTGGAGGTAGCTTGATGCAGTCGAGTCTGCCCCCTGGCAAGGGGGAAACAGTGATTCCTGGGAGACAAAAGGGTGACAGCCGGAGCACGCGTTTTGCTTCTGCTGCTGCTGTCCCTGGGGAGGGAGCAGCCTGCAGAGGAGTCGCTGCCACRGAGCCCCGCGAGCTGCTCCTGCACACGGTCAGCTGCCCGCACAGGGCACGTGCCACCACCTCGACTTCACCTCCGCACTGTCCATCCCTGCGGGTGCCCTGGAGGGCTTAACAAGCACCGTGTAGGAGAGGGTTCCCTCCTGGCTGTGGGGAGATGGATCTCTGTGTACTTGTCCTTTCCACACCTTCCCCACGGGGAGCGGGGGCCAGCAGGGCTGGGTTGAGGRATCCCTTTGAGGGATCCCATTGAGGGATCCCTGCTTGGCGCCAGGGTCACAGGCAGATCCCAGGGCGCCTGGGGGTGCCCAGTGCTGCTARCCAGTCCTGCATCTCCTTTGCAGTTCTTTGCCAGCATGCTGACGTACCCCTTYGTGCTGGTCTCCAACCTGATGGCCATTAATAATTGCGGGTGAGTGTGCYGCCACTGCCTCGGTCTACAGCGTGCGGGTCCTGCCACCTCCCTGGTGTCCCATCCACGTCCGGCCTTCCTGCGGTTCCCTCCGCAGCCCTGASAGGATGTGCCCATGTCTGGAGACCCCACTTTGACCTAGGGAGTGAGGTCTGGGTGCTGGGGGTGGCAGAGGGACGAGTCTTCATTCGCCCATGCGCTCTCCTCTCCTCCACAGACTGGCCGGGGGCCTCCTGCCCTATGCACCCGTGTACTCGTCTTGGCTGGACTGCTGGAGCCAGCTGCACAAGGAGGTAAGTGCCCAGTTCCCAGGAAGGGTAGATGGGAGCCCCGCGATGCTCYGGGGCCTGCGTCCTGCCCCCCACAAACCCCCGCATCACCCCCTGCACTGGGCACATGGCCAGCGCTGCGCTGGCCGCTCAAGGCGGAGGGTTGTCCCTTGCTAACGTGTCGTGGTGGGGTCAGGGGGCCTGTTGTGGCTTGGGGCAGCCCTGGCTCAACCGGGGGTCATCTTCTCCCCTTCTAGGGCAACATGAGCCGAGGGAACAGCCTGTTTTTCCGCAAGGTGCCCACAGGGAAGCGATATGTATGGGAGGAGAGGAGGTTTCGCTGAAGCTGGAGCTGTGACTCGAGTCCCAGAGTTGATGCTGGGCTCCAGACACACAGAATCATGAGAGAGTGGTGATTTCTATACATTTTTTTTTTAAATCATCTAATCCTGAGAGTCTACGGCAACTGTGTGAGAGTGTCTGTCATGGGTCCATGGGCTTCCTAATGGAGGGGTGGGGGGAATGGATGCAGCCCTGTGCCATATGCTCTAGGTSACCCTGCRTGTGCRGGGCGGTTGGACTAGATGACCTCTGGAGGTCCCTTCCACCCTTAAGCATTCTATGATCCTATGAACCCTGTCCCACATGTAGAAGTCACCTCCCTCACAGTAAGCTCTGTGACCAAACACGTTTTATCCTGGCCTTGTGGGATCCCCTTTTCTGAGCCAGGGCAAGAGTAAGGGACACAGTAAGGGACCCCCTGAAGGCATGCAGGGTTTTCAACATCATGCAGGGGTTGTTACAGCAGAGGAGAAGATCCCTTGGGGCAGGCGCCAGGGGATCAGCTTGTTAAGCATAATCCTGCAGAGACCGTGCCCCTGCTCCCACGCGCAGGGCAGACAGATTGTCCCTGCGGTCAGGAATCAAAAGACTTCAGTGGCTCGGGGACAGTCATGCTGCCATGCAGCCCAACAGAGCTGACAGTCGTCCCCCCTCTCGCGCTTCTGAACTTCCTCCTACTCCAGGCCACGYGCCAACAAGCGGAGCAGCGTCCCTGCTGCAGCTACGCCAGGCATCACGTTTTGGACTTTGCCAGGGAGGCAAAGTCTCTGTTAATGACTGGCATGAGAAGATGGAGGTGTGTGTTTTACACAAGCTCAAGTGCCAGAAATGGAGCAGGAGAAGCAGTGGGCACAGAGGAATGTCCCTCCTGGGMCAGGGCCATAACACTTGGCCAAGGGCTGGGTGCTGGTCCTGCCATTGGGGCATGTCCTGCCCTCAAGAGGCRTGGCTGGGGTTGTTGGGGTCTCACCCTGCCTTCATCTTATCTGCCCTCATTTAAGCAAGAGCTGTCACATGGCCATTAACTAAGACACCAAAACACCCCTGGTGAAGCTGCCAGCACAGGTAACGGGCCAAGGAGCAACTGCCCCTGTTGCACCCAGGAGCTGAGCAAGGCCCAGGCCTCTGCCCTCTGCAGGACCGGGACTCCCTGGAGCATCTCCCAAGGCAAAGCAACGAGGGGGGACRAACCCTCAACTGCCAACTTACCGGGACGCAGGGAGGCGCCTTGGTTTTAGGATTGCTGCATTGGTTTCAGCAGCCTTTATGCTGCTTCCTTAAGGCTTTGCTTCAGCTGAGGAAGTTCCTCCATGGGCCAGCAGTGCCTGGAAAAAAATAACCACAAGAATAACCACAAGAAATAACTCACTGTTTTCAAAGGGCAATTCTGCTACTGGCCCGGAGAGGGGACCYGGGATGCCCAAATACCAGAGTGGCGGCCACACCTGCAGTGGCTTCACGAGCCAATGGCTCTTGAATAATTGCAAGCTGCTGAAGCAGCCCAGGGCGAAAAGCGATAGCGTAAGGTGAGCTGGGCAGCGGGCCCGGCTTGGCTTCCTGTCTGTTGGCAGGTGGGGCTCGATTTCAGGGACACGATCGCCCGCGGCGGAAGAGGGGGAAACGCAGTAGGTGGAGGCTGCTCGGATGTCCCATCCAAGGGGAGGGGGTAAAAAGCGGCATGGAGGGGAGTGGAGGTGTGAGGGGCAGGGGGAAGTGCAGAGCTGACACGAGGGTCTTGCGCCCCATGGAGGTCTCACTTCTGGCAAGATAGGGCAGCCCATGGATGGGAGGGACTCCTGGCACAGCTCCACAGGGTACAGGGCTGCCAGGAGGTCTCCCATGAGGCAGGAGGTGACCCACAGCTGGTAGGAGGTCTCATGCTGGGCCCAACAGGGTCCACAGCTGGCAGGAAGTCCCACGCGTGGCTTGATGGAACGTGCAGCTGGCGGGAGGTCCCACAGCAGCAGCCTGGACRGGGCGTGCAGCCATGGAGGGTCCCACACCTGCCCAGATGGGGCGTGCAGCTACTGGGATAGGGTGCACAGAGACCAGGAGGTCCCCAGAGCAGCCCGGACGGGACGTGCAGCTATGGAGGGGGTCTCACACCTGCCCAGATGGAGAGCACAGCTACTGCGATGGGACACTCAGCTACCGGGAGGTCCCAGGGCAGCCCAGACAGGGTGCGCAGCTACCAGGAGGTCCCAGGGAAGCTCAGACGGGGTGCACAGCTACCAGGACATCCCAAAGCAACCCGGATGGGGCGCACAGCTACCAGGACATCCCAAAGCAACCCCGACGGGGTGCGCAGCTACCAGGACATCCCAGCGCAGCCCGGATGAGGCGCGCAGCCCCCGCGAGGCCCCAGAGCGGCGGCGCCGCCGCGAGCGGGAGGCGCGAGGG